TGGGTTCGAATCCCGGTTGGACCAGGGCCTTTCTGAGTGGAGTTTGCATGTTCTCCCCGTGTCTGCGTAGGTTTCCTCCGGGTGCTCCGGTTTCCCCTCCCCCTAAAAATATGTACAATAGGTCTGGCATGTGCCTCCTGTACTGGCACCCCCACTCCCAAAAATAACAATTGTAAACCGCTTTGAGACTCCGATGTGCAGTGAAAAGGCGGTATATAAATAAAGATTACTATTACTATTTAAACTTATATTGCTAAAATGAGTTTGACCAGGGGGCGACAGTGTGTCAGTTGGTAGAGCATTGGCCTTTGAGCCTGAAGGTCGTGGGTTCAAGCCCACCATAAGACCTACTTCACGACTCCCACTGATGTCTACTGTTGTTGTGTCCTTGGACAAGACACTTAACCCCACTTTGCCTGAAGCCCCCACTGAAAGATCAAGGCTCCTGTGGACTCACCACCTGCAGGAGGATCAGTGAAGGGCTGGTGCTAAGTTTACTGGGTGCAGCTCTGACCATAATAACTTATCATAAGGTGTATTACTGTAGGTCTTTAAACATCTCCTAGAAGATGAAACATTTATGGGCATCTAATCACCTTTATGAACATTGCTCATCTGCCCATAAATCCGTGTTTTTTATTGTCCTGTGTTAGAACTGTTCAATTCTCTGATCTGTGTTGGCGAATCGACAACTTTGTAAGGTCATCAAGGAAAACAACATATACTCAATCAATCAATCAATCAAATTTTATTTATAGAACCCTTTACAACACTCAAGGCGACCAAAGTGCTTTACAATAAAATCACATAAAATGCATTAAAAACATTCATTCAAACAAAAATAAAAATAGAACAGTAAGATAAAAAAAAGTGTTGCCGTGCTACTGAATGTTAAAAGCCAGTCTGAATAAATGTGTCTTGAGCCTGGATTTAAAAAGGCCAAGATCAGTGATGTGATATACTGTTGTGATTCAGGGCTATACAAAAATAAATGTAATTGAATGTAAATCATGCTAAGCGGATCTATCAAATCTAACTGATTGGATTAATGTAATGTAAAATGATACATAAAAAAACAACTCAACATAATTTCAAGTTAAACTTTTCCATTCTGGGGTCGAAGAAAGTTCACAGTTTATCCAATAAATAAAAGAGCGCCTTTATAAAAGACACAGTGGTTTTCTAAGAATACCCTCAAGTCTTACAAGTTTGAGTTTGCATGAATAAGGCCATCAGAAAAAATAAAAATAAAAATCCCGGCCAAACCACCAAGGCAAACCACTCAACAGAAAAAGAAAGATCATTTTCCTTGGCAACCAGAAAAGTAAGCGTTTTTATTTTTTTGTATGCGCACCAAACTAAAGCATAAGCTCCTTAGTCGTGGTGAATTAAAACTGACACAGTGTAATTAAACGGCGTTTCAAGTACTGTACAGTTTTACATTCAGCACCTGATCTGAGACGGTCTGTGCATTTATCACAATCAAGTCCTTTTTAAGTACGACTCCTCACATCAAACTGGTATTAGCATTTTTTCCAGCACGGACTGTTTCTTTGTTTCTAGGGAGACGGAGTAATGCTCGGCTGCAGAAGGGGGTTTCCTCTGCAAATAAAAAGCCTTGCAAATATACAGTGTTGAATAAGAGCTGTCTTTTTTGCATCTAAATTAAACATTGACTTGCATGGGGTTTGCCTTGGCGTCCAGTCGTATTTTGTGTGGTGTCATGTGTGATGAAGCCAAGCGAGCGCTGCACAGACACAAGGACACTATGCCTGCCTGACCCACTTTAGATGTTTCTGGAAAAGGGAGAAGGGCTTTTCCGAGACTGGGAAGGAAACCCCTTTTATCTTCTCTCATTAATTTCTGCCAAGAGAACAAAAAAAAGCCAAGACAATAAGTACTAAAGCACAGGGCGTAGTAGAGTGAAATCAAAGGAGTGTATTCAGTAGGGTGTCCGGTAATATACTGTGTAGGTTCAGACACCAGATTAAAGATATCTCAATGTATATAGTGACTTTCGAATCTATTTCAGAGGAATGTTTGACAGTGAATATCTTTAGTGAACCTCATGCACAAATGCAGTCATTCCTCTGTGCTTTGTTATTTCTATGTGAATTTATAAGGTTTTATGGTATAAACTATAAAGTAATGGAACTAAAACACAAAATCAATCACCAAGATTGATGTTGTCACAGCATATAAACAATCAATAGACATTTTTTTCCATTCCAGTTCTCGCCTGGGAGCCCTCTTCAGACCTGGATCTCCAGGATGTCCATCTATGGGCATGGATCTCTCTCTCTCTCACTGTAGGTCTCCCTGACGTTTTCTCCCACTGGGTTTTTAGTTTTTCTTGTCAATGCACGAGGGTCTAAGGACAGTGATGATCCAGGACATTGTGTGTTGGCAAATTTACATTATCAATACCTTCTAACAGACTGCTGTTGTGATATTGGCCGATACATGTATATAAATTGTATTGATTTGATTTTAGAGTCGGATTCAGAAAACTTCCCAGAGGGCAATTCATTTGCAGCATAATCTCAAAGCAGAACACACAGACTCTAGACAAACACAAAGGGAGTCAGGCCTCACAGTTTAGCAGCAGCAGGATTCAATATAAGTTAAAACAATACAATACACAACAGTTCAACCAACTCTACCAGAGTTCAACAGTTTTATGGCAGAGGGCACAAAAGACTTGGAAAAACAATTTGTTTCCGTGTAGGAGCAGAAAACCGAAGCCCTGAAGGCATCGTTACAAAGTCAGCGATCAGAGGATGTTTGGGCTGAGCGAGTATACACTTTCCTTTATCCAGCACCTGTTCCTCCCACAAAGAGTGAAGGTCTCTGAGTTTTCTTCCAGTGATTAAGAGATTGAGTTTTCACAATACTCTGCCACTTGTTTTTGTCCTTCAGCGTCAGGCTGTGGAACCAACAAATAAAAAAGCTCAGATGGCTTTCAATAAAAGAACAGAAAAAGTTATTAAGAATTCTAATGTTTACATTAAAAGAGTAAATTTCCTCTCTGCTGCCCTTGTTTAGCATGTTAAATGAATCCCTCGAGGCAAACAAAAGTCATTAGCTTATATGCTATTTTTCCACCATTTTTGTGTTGCGTCTAACAGCGAATATATACCCGAAACACAAATCTGTTATATAAAAGTACTGACGAGGTTTTCACTTCTGTGTCCACGCCCAAACCACCAGACAGATGGACAGCCATACGAAGTGGGTCATCTGAGCTAATCTCACTGCGTGATCTATGAAACATGATCTAATGATATGTGCATCTAATCTGGTGAGATAATTGGCGAAAAACCAACTCTGATTACGACTATATCTGGTCATAGCGCTGTGCATGGCGGTTGGCGGGTTCAGCCTGACAGGATTTACAAGTCAAAATCAAATCCCCATAATCAGAGTGATCAGTGTCTTTGCATCAGCTATCATAATGCATGGCTGTACAGCAGATAAAGCCACTCCAACATATCCAGTGCGTGTTCTCCCAAGCAGCGACACATCTGTGCATTATAATTACCACAGCAGATTGCACTTCATTTTGGAAAAGGAGTAATCAAGACCCATGATTGAGAGTCGACTCCTCTGATTCATATCCTCCCTGTGATAACAAGATTGTAAACAAAAGTGCGATGATTGGTAGTCAAAGTAGGTTCCTCCCCCATATCTGACCATCTTTTGAGACAGGCGCGAGGCATTCTTGCCAGCACCTCTTTGCCATTCCCCCTGACAATAGCTAATCTTGTGTTATTCTCAGAAGATCAATGGGCCGATGGGAATTTTGTGATAGACAACAGACACCTATACTCATATTACCAAGCATGATGGATGAGCAAAAGGATTTAAAGGGTGCACATGTGAATCCATAATATTTGACATGTAAAGCAATTGTGTATGCCTGTCATACAACTCAGACAAATTGATTGTGATGGCTATAAACCAGATATGCTGTATAAAGAAGACCTTCTTTTGTGGATGCGCTGTTGGTTTTTGGTCATATCTGCTGGTGTTTGAGACCAGAGGGGTTTCCACTCTTCCTCTGTAAAATGGCCGTCACAGCTCTGATGTCACCACCTTAGGAATGTTTCCAAGATTAGACAACGCCAAATAACGCTCAAAAGGGTCTCAACTGACAGTTAACGGTTGTGTTTGTTTATAAAAGTAGAAATTGAAAACTTATCACTGACTTTTATCTTTTGCGTGACCTAGATATTGAGATCAGATTTTAAGATTGATATTAAAAATGATGTAAGATATAGCAGATAAACATCAAACATAGAGAAGCCTGGATAATAGCCGATTATGATGCCACCGTGACCTACGCCCAGATGTGTCCTCTACAAGCATCATGTGTTCTGTGTTACACACACAATCACCGTGGGGCATTTTCACATTTACTCTCGATCCAAATGTTCTCGGAAGTGGTCATCATGGCCTTCTCATAAATCAAACACAACACAACAAGGAGCATTACATGGAATGGTTGGGGTATTTAAGTGCAACAGGTCTCTTACCTGTGGAATATGCATATTGACAGTGTGTTTATTGATTAACCGTCTATAGGTTATCTCTTCATAAGAACATTGTTTCTCAAAACAACATCTTGAAAACATCTCAATAATCAAACTCCTAACATGTTTGTGGCATCTACTTCTCTGTAGACATCTGTTTTGATGGTTGTGGATGGGTCTTGAGCGAGATTCGGTAACACGTCTGTAGGTGTGTTTAACGCGACTGAAATGTTAATTCTGCACAAGGTGCTGAATATAAGCCCTGAGAAGCTGGCAGCTGGGGAACGGCTGTCAAAGACACTTGTTTGCAGGCAGTCACAATAGACACATGTGCTAACAAGGTCACTCTGAACAACTGGGGTCTCAGCACAAATACTCCATCAGAACACAGAGAATATACGTTTAAATGCAATGTTTTTAATTTTGAAAACTGTGGGGCTGCATGACAAAAGAAGAAAGTTGCCAGACCTTGTCTTCGTAGTCTCCGTTTCCTGAGGCCGAAGATGCGCACTTTAGAGAAGATGTCGACCAGATTCCCATTACAGAGACCCTTGTTCTTGTTGGGACTCTTCCTCCGGCGATTTGTGGAGGGGCGGTCCTGTTGCTGTTCCCGCGCCTGCCTCTTCTGTCGGATAAGCCCGCTCGCAATAGCCGCGGCCATGGCCCAGGCGATGTGCCTGTCTGCCCGGCGCGCACACGGAGCGCACGCAGGCGCTACAACAAAACAGCCGCCTGTGGGAGCTCACAGCCCGGGTCACAGTCCCATGGTGGCGAGAACCAAGCGGTCCTTGTAGAGTGATGAAATGAAAAAGTGATGCGATGTGTGCAGCAAACGGATATGTTTGCCCCCAACTACATGGCATCTGTCGGTGTCTTCAACATCGCGGAGAATGTCAAATGCTTCGTTCCCCGGTCTCTGGAGTCAGGGCGACGCCAAAACTGATGGAGAATTCTGCAACATTCATAAAACTATCCCACCGTCCCCCAAACGTCCAAAACCGGCGTCTCCTCACATGATCCACTCGTGCGCCCTCCTCGCAGGCGCCTCTTTAACGCTTCCAGACGAGGCTCGAGATGTGTGAGCAGCAGTCAGTCTGTGTGGAGAGCTGTGCGTGTGCATGTGTGTGTGTGTGTGTGTGTGTGTGTGTGTGTGTGTGTGTGTGTGTGTGTGTGTGTGTGTGTGTGTGTATGTATGTGTGTGTGTATGTGTGTGTGCGCACACGCGTGCGTGCGTGTTTGTGCGCGTGATGGAGCAGGGCGCGAGGGATACAGGCACCTCCTACGAAGACGAGCCGCCGAGTGAACGCACAGCAGCAGCAGCGCGTCAGCGACAGCAGCTGTAGCCGTGAGAGGATGTGGAAGTTTCAGAAAAGAAAGAGAGGGGAGATCGCGTTTGGGTTGAATGCTGTTGATTGTAGGCAATACAGGTTGCATTGTATGTGTTTGATTTTTAGTGGTGTATAACATATGGCTACGTAACCTCAATCAATTAGTCATTAAAACCTGTTGATGACGAGAGTCCGTATCAAGAACGAGAGGATGCTTTTTCTCAGACGCAGGAGCATGTGGACACTTAAGTTGTTTGCATCAGTTTAATGGAGCCTTGTTGGGTGGTTATATATATGCTGTTTAAGCATCGTGCATTTCTCCCAGTGTTTAAATAACACAGTGCATTTTTATAGTGTCCCGTGGGGTCCATGGACAAAGCGCACGTCAACAAATCTCCGATTACTCCCTTACGTCCAGTGAAGAAATAGATTCAGCCAATATATATTATGATGGAACTGAAAATGCTTCAAGTTTTTATTATAGCACGCAAGTGCCAGTGCGTAAAAGGATGAAGTGCAATTGTGAAGAGCCCCGTTTCAGCACCACGGACAGAGCCCTTACAGAGTCGCATGCAGGATGACCCTCAGCCCTGTGTCTTTTGCAAACTGTACTTCCACTTTCTTATTGTAAGTTGAGTATTGCGGAAGGGAATACTATATTCTTTTTGTGCCTTTTTGTGGTGTAATCTCAAGCATCCACCGTCACAGAAATTAAAACTCAAGAGAGCCATCTGCTGTTTATGGATGTAATTAAACATTTGACAGGCTGAATAACGCGAAGCACTGGATTGTAGCGGCTTTGATAAACCTGAAGGATTATCTTATTCTTTTTCACTTAATTGGTTTTGTAAATAGCTGAGCAAAAAAAAAAAAAAAACAAGGAAAAGAAGGATTCACATTGTGTGTTTATCGCAGTGGTGATAACAAGACACTGGTCAGAAGGGAGACAGTGCAGTAAGAGCTTCAGCCAGCAGTGGACAGTGTCAGCACAACAATGGCCACTCATCTGCACCATGCATTCTGGGGTTATGACTTATTGCCCTGCCTGGGAATCAATACAAGTTAGCAATGACTTTTTTTTTGCTGTAAAATAATATAATATTGAATGCAAAATGTATCAACACTCATGCAAACACCATGAACAGAAAATATCATTGCGGTTATCTGCTAAAATTGAGGCATCTTTTTGGTTTATCTACTGTAGGACTAAAAGCTGGACATGTTTACCGATATATCACAAAAATATTGAAAACAGCAGGATCTATTTGTTCTTGGCTCATTAAGGTCTTTCTGACACCCTACATTATAAAAAAAATAAACATGAAACTCTGAATTCATTAGATCGATCTCAGTTAGCATTTTTGGCTCCTCACTTAACCTTTTGCACTTCATTAATCTTACTCGAAGCCAATTAAAAAGTTTGCAACACGTTTGACGCACAAAAAGCTTTCCTAAATGTTGAAGGTCACTGAAGAACGTAATAAGTTATACAGAACAAACAAAACAATCTGGAGGCGTTTGCACCCAACAGAGCTGCACAAACCAAAGACATAGATATATAATTGAACCATCTATCAAAGTATAATCGCCAAAAAACCGAGTTATACAAAGTCCCAAAGGCTTCACAGCACCTACCTACATTTTTTTTCCTCCTGCATGTGAAGGTATGGGATTCCATGTCGGACCCATTCCCGCCTGTTGTGCCAAGAGCTGTTCCTGTGACTAAATGCCCCATTTATACTGCCCTTTGTGGCTTCAACAGGCTTTCTTCAACCTGACAACATGCCCTAGAGCACTACTCCAAATCGCGTTTTCTTCAAATCGTGTCGCCAGAGAAATGCTTTGGGATTAACTCATTCAGACGTTTAGCCACAGCGCAAATGAAGATGGCTAAATGTTGCCTCGAGACGTAATCAAGACTGTGACACACGCAATTAGACAGATATAAATAAAGGCTTTGGAGCAAATATTTACTTCACTAAGTCCTGCTGGTGTTTGTACAAAAAATCCAACAAGTTTCTGGCTCTAAAACTGTTTCAGATTGTCTCATAAGTTTTCAGATACATGTATTTTTGGCGTCATTTTTAGATCACCATTCAGACAGAAAAGTGAAAAAGAGATAACCACCCCCCCCCCCCCCCCCCCCACTCGGTGAATCAGCTCTCAGCCCAAAAAGTCAAATTGTGACTCCCTGGGTTCTTGCAAATGATAAAATTGACAAAAAAACAGTATGTTGTGGTCTGATTTGTCCACAACATTATTTCACTTTCACAAGACTTTTATTCTGTTGGAGCAAACGCAATATATAACTTTAAAAAAATTCTAGGTATCCAGGTTTAAAACAATTTATACTCCCCATTTTCTTTACTTTGTAACTTTGAGGTAAAGGACTTATATAATTTGGTTTGATATATGCTATGTAGCCTACTGTATACGCTCTGGCATTATAGTCTCCAAAGATTCTATCCTTTTCTCTGGGAAATTATCTATAAAGTCAAAAGTTATGCAGACTTGTAAATGGCCTCGTGGGGTTAGCCCATTCTAATCTAATCACCTTCCAGGGAAATTGCATTACGCTTTAGTTGGATGTCTTGCTGCCAAGGCCCAGCAAATGTCACCCAGTGGAACTAGGATAAACAAGCCATTTCATTACTTCCATTAGTTTGCTTCTGGGCTGCTCCACTTTATCCTATCCTGATGGGGAAAGAGGAAAAACATCAGGCTTGGGGACTCAGCATTTCTAAAGCCCCACTAAAGAAGCTTAACTTGCCCATATCAAATTACTCTGAATGATCAAAAACAGCAATAATTTAATCGAGCTTTGTGTATCTAAACCATGATTTATGCTGCTCTTTTAAGTGTTTAGCTCCCTAATCGCTGGATGCACCAAAAGCTTTTCACATACTGTGCATTTATTTAGACTCAGTATTTCTGATTCACTTTGAGCAGTTCGATAGACGCAGCTAATGAGTCTAAGCAAGATAAAGAGGGCCAGAAGACATCAGGCACAACTAAGTGAAACGAATGGTTGAAAGTGAACAAAGTAAAGCCCGACACGAGTAATGCTTCCAGACAGAATCCGTGCTGTTTATATTTATATTATTCTAAAACTCTCTTTTTAGCATATATAAATAAACAGCTTTAAGGATAAATTAGTTAAGCAAAATCCCGCTCGTTGACATAGAGCTATTCCTTTAATGCTTGATTTCAGCACCGTGGACAGCGTTAACTAACACTTTCCGCTTGAATATACACAAACTTTCTCAAATATGCCCAAATCATTACAAACTTATGTTCTTTCTGTTAATTATGTTTGCCTATACAGCATCTGCTCGTCTGGAAGAGATCATGCATTGATAAAGAATGAGAAAAGAATGTAGGGAGAAATATCTGATGTTTGTGTTAACTTTGAAATGAGGAAAGAAGAGAACTTATCAAACTGAAAAACCCGGACCCACTGGACTCTGAAAAGCTACATTTCTGGGGGGAAAGACATTTTTATTGAGCCGAAGCTAATATAGTGTACAGTCTAAGTTGCTGACCCCTTGTGGTTGTGTAATGAAAGTTTTATGGCACTGTTTACAGACCAACTGAAACACACAAACCAGACACTGACAGCCAAACCACTCCCTCTTTAGTACTCATTTAGTGGTGTCACTAAAAGCCGGGGTATCTTCTTCTTTTCATAAATAATACATGCTGTTTTTCCCAACAATAAGTCCTGTAAAATATATATGACCAAATTAGACCACAACATGCAGTCTTCATCTTATTGCCAAAAAATAAGTTTTGTCATTTGAAAGAAAGAGTCCTGTGGGTCACTATATTTGTAACTTGAGATCTAATTGTCAAAGTGAGGGCGGTGCTCTGTTTTGTTTCAGGAAAAGCTCTGAAGACGTGGAAGAGGCCAAATATACTTGCATGTGAATAATAATGATCGAACCAAACTTAGTAATTAGATGTATTTATTTATTTTTGTCTAGCCCTGTTTTATTTTGACACTTATTACATTTAAATACCCTCTGCAAAACCACTCACAACCATTCAACAGTTACAACAACACACAGTAAACTATAAGTGAGTGTTGAGAATTGCATCTTGCAACCTTTGGATTCTCATTTCCTGAAGCAGAGCGTCCTATACAGTTTGTCACTTTGTCAATGAGTGACATATTCCCAAAGGTCAACCTCAGCCCTTAAGGGTCCTATGCAGCGCTACTACAGGAAGTATCTGTGTGAAGTCCTTGCTTTTGTCTCATGCCGGGAATCACTGAATCATTTACACACATACTGGTTGCATAAGAGAACAGCCTCCAGTTAAATATTCCACCAGA